AGATGGTGGTGGATGGGCCCCACAAACCTATTTTATATATATTGTAATAACAACAATGCTAGGTGGCCCGAAAAATCATGACTCGAATAGCTCGAAACACCTAAAACGATGTCATTTTGAGTGTAAAACGACGTCATTTTGACACATTTGAGCCATTCTAGCCACAAAAATTCGGGCCACCAAACATTTTCCTTATAGTAAATCAACATCCTTTTCATCTGCTAGGTAAAGAAAAGAAAACAATGCAAGAGAGAGGAAGGAAGAAAACGAGGGAGACAGGAGGAAGAAAAACGAAGGCGAAGACGACAGATCGAGTTAGGCAATGGGTGATTTCTCACCTTTGAATTCTGTCTCCAGATCAAGTTAGATCGTTGTTGGGTGATTCGCTTCCGATCTTCGATTCAAAACCCATCCTTTCTTAGGCCATGGGTGAATCTTGGTCAAAGCTAGACTCGAAATCGAAAGATCTATCGAGGTAAGTAGTAGATTTGTTGTTAATAGATTAATTTCTTGTTCTTCATCCTGATTTTTGCACGTAATTAGTTTTCCTCCATTTCTTGAAGACTCTTGATTCTTCTTCTGATCCATTAGTGCTCGGGCTTTGTTCGTCTGGTTCGATACGAAACGTTGCTGTTAAGTTCTTGGGTTCAGATCTATTAATTTCCCTTCTGTTCTCTCGTTACAAGTTTTTAAAATTATTTTTTTGTCTCGCCATATCCCGAAATTATCCCAAGCGTATCCTTGAAGTATCCTCGCGTATCCCAAACGTATCTGAAATTAAAAAAATTAAAAAAAAAATTGGGATACTTCTTTACCGTATCTGATACGAATCCCGGTGTATCAGATGCATATCCATATCCGATACATATCTGATATGTGTACGGGGCCATTTCAGAGTATCCGTGCTTCATAGGTGGATATGAAGGGGTTGAAGCAACTAAAGCAACTTAAATAAAGACTAGACCAAAAGAATATGAAGGGGTGAAGCAACTTACATGGGGAAGCAAGCGACTAGGTACGTTATGAAACTTTTGGCCCCAATAGAAAACAGAGAGTTGTGCAGGTCTATAGCACCAAATACGTCAATCTTCCCTATACTCTTTTCAACGTCATAAGAATCTTTGGTCAACAACTTACAGTGACATGGCCAAGGATATACATCATTAAATTTTGACCAAGCGTAATACAAAAGCAAAAATGTATTGATTTCCTCTACGAAAGTGTTCATCATCGGTGCCGAATTGGAGAAGACAATACCATCCATTCGATGAGTCAAGCAGTTGATGGTCCATCACATAATAACCCATATGCAAGTTAGGAGATCTAATGGCCTCAAGATCTTCGACATTCTTCCTAACAAATTCAAATTCTGTTGTGAGATCAGAAGTGCATACAGAAGATTCAGAGTAAGCACCTGTGGCAGTCCATGACTTATTAGATATCAACATTGCTCCATTTCTGAAAGGAGAATGAACCTCACCAATCGGATGATATATATCAAAACGCTCCCATGTGTTGCAATTAACATCAAAAGCGTACATGTGAGATTTTCTAGAACAAGATGTGACACTCGACGACAACATGAGAAACAATCTTGCTTACATGAGACCAATACCAAGCCCCATAACCATAATCATCACAGGAACTAGGATAGAACTGAGGGTTTGACAAAGAAGACCATTTTCCTTTTCCTTCATTGGCATTGAGGTCAAAAACTTCGAGCAGCGTAGTATCTTCATCAAGATAAGTGTACCAGGTAGGTAATTCTAAAATTACATATATTATCTCATTAACAGGGATGATAGTAGGAAATGTCTTCCCATCATTCATGGGAGTTCCCTGTGAATTTGACAAGAGCAAGGCTGAGACGGTATTACAAACATAAACCATTTCAGAAAGACGCACAGTTGACTTGTCGTGGTGGTAGTAGTCATCGTCGTCTATTCCTATTTCACCCCCAATCAGAAAAATTCTAGAGCCCACTGCAAAAGCGGCCATAAACCTAGGATAATGGTCTCTAGGTAATTCAAGTACATGACCGATCGCTATAGCATCGTTACTGGCATCTTCATGTACATATCCAACGGGACCCTCCTCATGAAAGTAAAGCAAGTATATAGAATCCTCTTCAATCCTTGATTTCTTTGATGTCAAGTCTAGCTGGACACACGAAACAGTCCTCTTTGTCGACATCAAGAAATAGGCATTGGAGAGAATGGAGATTCGATTTTTAGATATATACATACACACATGCTTATATGCGAGTGTGTATTTATGGCTGCGTGCACGGCAAAATGAACAAACAGAAAAAAAGAAAAGAAAAATGACATGGCTACTTACATGAAGGAAAGAAGAAAAGAGCATACATTTTTCCGTTGCAGAGAGTGTTCGTATCGATTGAAACCCTAGGAAGACCCAAACGCAATAGATAGCAGATCGAAACCCTAGGGTTGAGAATAGAGTTGTTCGCATGCGTATATAATTCACTTTTTTTTTTCTTTTGGATAAATTATGACACCCCCCTAAAGTTTGCTTTATTACAAATTCCCCCTCAACGTTTTAAAAATTACACTAACCTCCCGATCAATGTTTGTCTTTTAACTGAAGGGTGGTTCTAAATGCACCTCAAAAGTTTGGTTGGGCACCCCATTGCTTATGACATCCAAAGAAACAATTCAAAGTTTTGGAAATTTTGTTGAACACCCCAAATAATCCCAATCTTATCCTCATAAATTCTGACAACCCATCACCACTTCCCTACCCCACTCTTCCCCCACTGCCACCGGCGTCCCCTTCTCTTCTTCTCATTTTCCTCCTCATCCCGTCGTCCACAACCTCCTCTTCTCATTTGCTTTTCTTTCTTTCAAAACCCTAGATTTAAAGACCTTAGATCTAGGGTTTTGACATGGAAGATAATGGAAGTAGGTTGCAGTGAATAAGAGGCTATGAAAGGGGTTCATGATGGGGAGAGGAGTTGAGTTGGGGGTGGTGGCTGGATTAGGGTTTTACGGCGGAGAGAGATCGTAGCGAAGAAGATGAAGAAGAAAAAGAAAGAGATGAGTAGGTCGTTGTGGTAAGAGGGGACGACGAGAAGAAGAAGAAGAAAAAGTAGTGAGCGGTGGAAGAAGAAGAAGAAGAAGAGGGCAGGGAGGAGAAGGAATGGATTGCGATGGTAGAAGAGGAGGAAGAGGAGGAGAAGAAGAAGAAGAAGAAGAAGAAGGGGGGAAGAGGTGGCGGCAATGGGGAGGAAATGACAGCTTGCAGGTTGAGAAGAAAAGGGTTTGGGGGTTAATGATGAACTGGAAAGGGGCTGGGGTTGGCGGCGGGAGGTGGGAAAAGGCTTGGAAGTGGCGATGGGAGCTGGAGAATGGTGAAGAGGGGGAATTATGGTGCTGCCGGTGATTATTGCGGCACCGGAACTAGATTGGGTGGGGGTTAGGGTTTTGAATTGGGTTTTTTGGTAACTTTATTTAGGGATAGAATTGTATTTAAAAAAATAAAAATAAAGAGTTGGGTGTCCAACAAATAAACAAAAAATATACAATGGCCAAAATACCCAATGTTGATATTACAATATTGCTCTAACTCTATTAGACTCTATTTCTCATCTTTCTCAAGATCAACAACCCAACTACTGCCGCCATCATTCTCATTTCAATCTTTCACAACCACCATTACCGACCCCTTACCATCCTACCCACCTCATACCATCTCCACCTCATTTTTACACTTCATCACGCTGAGAGAAGGTGGTGGAGCAGTAAGTTTCCTTCTTTTTTTTCCTTTTTCCCTTTTACTCTTGTACTCGTTTTTCCTTAATTGATAATTATTGGTTTAGCTCTATGAGCATGGAGGTATTTGAGAGGTGGGTTTCTTATATTATTTTAGTCACAATTGCATGTGTTGGATGAGGTGGTCGAACTGGGTGTGCCAAGTGTGGAAGGTAACACATGGCTCTCATTATTTAGGTATATAACTCATGTAATCAATATACCAATAAAATCATTGTGTAGCTCGATTCAATTCATTTTAAATGTAGGTCACACAGTATATGAGTTAAACCTAGACTACACAATAATTTTTTAAATATTTTTAAGTACACGTACATATCTTTAAGTTGTATTCTTTAAATAAAAAGTGAAATATTTGTGTCTGTTTGTTTTTATTTGTTTGTCTAACCGTGAGTAGTGTTGTTACAAAAATCGAGATAGAATTTTTGTTGTCCCTAGAATTATTGAATATAGAATGCATTGTCTAAATGGTCCCGGATGATAATAGTTGTCATGTTTAAAAATTTATTAGATAATTGTAGTATATCATGTAATATTACTAATGTGATTGTGCGATTCACTCAATAAATAAAAGAACAGCAAAAACACAAATCATTTTGTTTTGTTTTTTTGTGGTAAAGATGGGCATTCATTCATTAAGTAGAAGAAACATTGCAGTACACACGGGGATGTGTGACCCCTCTAATGTCATCAAGTAACAATTTAGCAATACATAAAGAAGGGAAAGTAAAAACATGAAAATCTTCATCTCGCGATAGTTCCAAGTTTGCAAAGGCATTCGTATATGAATTTGCTTCTCAATAGATATGACTAAAGATATAACTAAACATTGGTGATCCTATTTGAGCCATGTGCTAAGCTGATGATGTGTATTTGAGTCACCCAACACAAGTTGTTTTATCATCAACGTGCTAGGTTCAATATCCAATCATCTTCTGTTTTTCAATTAGATAAGATAACTAAGATAGATAGAATATATTTTTAACTGTAAAATTTTGATATTACAAGACTATTAAATAATACCCATCAGGTTTAAGTCAAGAATTGGACGATGTCCATTTTCCTTTCAATAGTGTATATCATTTTATGGTCCTATGAACAAAAAAGATGAAGATTGGGCATAAGAATAATTTGATGCCATTACCAGTAAGTGAATGTAAAATGTTGAATTCTTGCAATTTATGATTAACATTGATCATTCACATCCGTTCATAAAAGAAGTTGATTACAATTGTGGGCATACATTCCTACACGAAGAGCTACAGAAAATCAATTTAACTTCTCATGAAATCTTCATGTGTAAATCCTTCAAAATACAGACACTTTTGTAGTTCCACCACCAACATAGGAAAGGCAGTTAAAATCAATTTACCGATAAGTGAATGTAAAATATTGAATTCTTGCAATTGTTGATTGACACTGATCATTCACATCCATTCATAAAAGAAGTTCATTACAATCGTGGGCATACATTCCTACACGAAGAGCTACAAAAAATCAATTTAACTTCTCATGAAATCTTCCATGTTCAAATCCTTCAAAATATAGACACTTTTGTAGTTCCACCATCAACATAGGAAAGGTAGTTGATATCAATCCATCAACTTCTGTACGGTTGATTAGCTTACCCTATTCAAAAAAATATATTAAGTATTAATTATTATTGACAAATAATTAAATAAGATTGACTAAATTAAAAAATAATTAGCAACTTACATTCTTTGAATAATTTCCAATATGGATGACCACATTTCTTACAAAGCAAACAAGTTCCTCAAGAGTGTTACCGTAATGACAATATCTATATACATCATTCAACGGGTTGGGTTTTGGTGTAAAATTATTCCAAATGCGGTGGTTAGCAACATACCATTGCAAACGTATTTTTGCCACAGCTGAGTTGTGCCTTTGCTTATCAAGTCTTGATAGGAAATGCCATATGTCCTAAACATTTCTCATGAAGGTAAATCTTTCCTCTGATTCCCACAGGCAACAATGGTTGTGAACCAAGTTCTCATCGGTGTACTTGTCAAACAAAATAACAGGTGTGAACAAAATCACTTATGAATAAATTTAAATAAATGGTAATATAAAACAACCATCTTGACAAGGTATGAATGAAGTCATCTAGCTCTGAAGGCATCTGAACGAAATCTTCCTTCATTTGAGATTGCGATGTCTAGCTCGCTTTCCATAATTCATCAAAGCATGTTACGGTCATTTCACGGACACAAAAGTGTCCAGGATAATGCCACAGATGAATATTATGTTGTTTATGAGAACTACCCAAGAAGTTTAAGAGCTCATATCAACAATTTGAAGAACCAGTCTAGAGTTACGTTGGAGTTCAGAAGCCTTCAAAGCTGGATGTTGTTTACATTACCATCTCGACAAGGTATGAATGCTTCTGAACTCCAACATAACTCTAGGCTGGTTCTTCAAACTGTTGATATGATCTCTTAAACTTCTTGAGTAGTTCTCATAAACAACATAGTATTAATCTGTGGCATTATCCTGGACACTTTTGTGTCCGTGAAATGACCGTAACATGCTTTGATGAATTATGGAAAGTGAGCTAGACATCGCAATCCTAGTTTGTTTAGTAGGAACATGATTTGCAGCTCTCCAACTTCATTCATGGTTGGCTTTTTTTTTTTTTTGATCAGCAACAAAAAGTGTTTATTAATAATGAAAAGGAGATACAAAGGGAGGACAAGAAGTCCTCTTACAAGTAAAGAAAGAAAAGAAATTCAAATGACTTGAACCAACCAAATGAAATAATTAAGCAACCCATTGCACACCAACACCTTTTTTTAGCACACCTTGAGCTTTAGTTTTGAGGTTGAGCATAATCCGTTGGGCCGTAAGGTCGATCATCTCGGCAATGAATCTCTTCTTCCTCTTAGGGTTCCATCCTATGTCCTTGCAGAGTAGATCATTGTACCATATATGAAGGGAACCAATGCAAGATCTCCGGTAGTACTTGTCAGAGTATTGCTTCATGTATTTATCCCATTCCAATACATCTTTTTCGTCCTCTTTAATGCTGGGTAGCTTGAATGTGCCATCAAGAAGCTCTGCTAGCCATCGACACCTTATCTGCGAAGTATACAGGTTTGCTACACTCTCTCAGAATCCAATTACTGCTAGCTGTGGAATTCGGGGATGAATGCATTCCTTTTTAAAACAAAAAGTTAGTATTGATATGCTTCTCTTGTGATTTAGAACTGTGATATCAACCTCTATGCAATGCTTAGATATCAATCTATACTTATATTGCAGAATGCTGTATGATGTTAGATGCTAACCTGTAGAGGTACTGTTTTATCGGGTGATCCTGCTATGTGGTCCTAAGAGGTTGGGGACACAAGAATGTCTTTGAGCTTTTCAACACCCTTGAACCCAGTAGCCAATATGACCATATCTATCTCTACAGCTTCAGTGTCACCATCAACCAAAATGCCTTCTTTGCAGAAATTGAAACTTGGAGCTTTCTTCAATTTGATGCTTCCCTTCTCAACCCGATTGTAGAAGTCCTCTGGCACGGTTGAGATCAAACAAGAGTTTAGTTCTTGTAAAAAAACTGTGTTTTGGGACCTTACTGAACTGAGCAAGACGAAGCTTGTGTTGTATTGAGTTTCGACAAATTTCGAAAACGCCCATCTCTGTTATTTAAATTAGGTTCATTATTTAGAGGATTGAATTTATTATCTGGGAACTGTGAATTAGGAGAGAGGTTACCAGAGGGGAAAGCAATGTTGGCAGGAGACTGAGGAGAAACCCCTCACCTAGCTTGTGACCGATAGCTCAGAGAGGCGATTAAGGTAAAGATATGCTATGGAAAGTCCCCATGGCTGGTAGACAGGGATGTTCCAGTTTTCGGTTCTGTATATCACTGTAAATGGATGATCCACCCTTGTAAATCAACCCAAAAAAAATAAAATAAAATGAAAACATGGATAGCAAACACAACCTTGCAAATGAAAATGATGTTATGAAATTATTCAGAGCAGCTCTGCGAAATTGACCGTATTGTGCACTATGGGTCAACATTGGGTTTTGCCAGGCTGGCCCAACTTGTGAAATTAGTGCCCAAGCATACCTGACGAGCTTTTCTTGGCAGGCCATGCTGCCCAGCTGGCCAAAAGCAAGCACCAAGGATCCTCTAGAGTGTTTTTTTTCTAAAGTTTTCTAAAGTAGTGTATTGTATTGTGTGGTTGATATTTAATGTTAAAAAATTGATGTGACTTGTCATTAAATCTCAACCACACAATGCACCACTCTAGGAAATTTTAAGAAAAAAAAAAACTCTAGAAGACCCTTCCTCGAAAGCAAGAAACCTTAGGCCCAAACTTTGTGCAATGGTTAGTTGAGACGGACTAACAGATTGGGTTGTGGGTTAAGCCCAACTAGCTAAGATTTGTTCAGCAGAAAATATTTTCTGCTTTTTTTTTTTTTTTTTTTTTTTTTGTGGTTTGATTTTTTTTTTTTGGCTTTTGGTATGACAAAAAACGAAAGTCAACAAAAATATTTTTTGTGAATCAATGAAATCTAACTTTTTTGGGCAGAAAATATTTTCTTCTTTTAAAAAGTAAAAGTTTTTCAGACTAAAATTTTACTAATACCACCATATTAGCAACCACTATTGCCACTTCTACCATAGCACCACCACCGCCACCTCACCACTGCCACTATTGGTAGTACCACATACATTAGTTCACAACCAAACATAGGAAAATATTTTCTGTGAGAAATATCTTTTGTAGGAAAATGTTTTTCAAATAAACAAAGTTTTACTTTTTATTATTATTTCTCTTGGGCTAGCGGGCTAGGCAGGTAGATTGCCTCTCACGGGCCAATGAATTGGACTATCGAGCATGTTCAGGTTTCAACACCTAGCCCCCAGACTGGCCTAGGGCCAACCCATACTGTGCACAATGGAAAAAGGGGATGCAAAACCAAATGATCTGAAAAATTCTGTGTTTTTCTTTTTTGTTTGGTATTCTCAATTCTCACCATTTGCTGTGGAGCACTCCATGGTAATGTCAAGTGCTGATTTCTGGAGGCCGATGACGGCGACACGCTTTCCTCAGACCAATTCTTTAGCAGTCTGATGATCCATGGAAGCACAGTCCATGGAGTGTAGGACCTGCCCTTCAAACACCTGAGGACCCTTCCCACACCTGACGACCCTTCCCTGGAGGAAATTCTGGAATGTTTGGAACCCCACTAAACCTTCCCACGCAATGGATCACAAAATCAACTTCATAAACCTGTTCAAGTTATCATATCACCATGAGAACGTGAGATGAAAATACATAAGATTAACATGTCTTTGAACAAATTAAATTTTGTATATAGCTATCAGGTGGCAAATGGGCATATATATATATATATATATACTAGATGTGCACACCTACATGGGTGTGCTTGAAATTTCCTTATGAGTTGAAATTGACAGGTACAGAAGAATTTGAATTGTGGGTAATTTGGGAGTAAAAATTTATGACAAAAAAGTGTCAACATCTCAGGCTTTTGTATTATATAATAGAATAGATATATAATTAAGAAATTTTTGTAAAAAACATGTCAAATGCAATATTAATTTTCATCAATACAAAATGTGAAAAATATCACAAAATTATATCATTATATATTTTTATTTAACGTGCATTATTTTGTTGTGGTGGTTGGGATTGTAATGCCACCATTCATTACTTCATTTATGAATTTGATAGTTATAGAAATACGTATCCTGTCGACATAAAATTTATAACTTCTTATTCTCTTGTCTAACCGGTAAAGATTTGTATCCATAGAAAGGATTATTGATAGTGGTCCTAAAATACCTTTTGTCCTATCTTACCAAAACAAAAAACCCCTTCCATTTTGAGAACGTAACCCATTGTTTTGTCACACTCATTTATTTATAACTTTATTTTTACAATGATAGGACATAGATAGAGCCATTCATTATTATTATCAGTACGATAGGTTGCACAAGCCTTTTTTTTCCTTGGCCTTTGCTTCGTTCCGAGCAATGTACTACTATCGGCCTACTAGGCGATCATCATACATTTTTATTTTGACCAAAAGTTGTTCAAGAATATAAATCTCATAATTTTACAATTGAAATTACAAATTCAGTTTTCTTACTTTGCTAGTTATTGAGAAAAACTTTATTTAGACACTTGCAAATATCATCAATTTTGAAAAACATATAACCATCCTAGAATATGAAGCAAAGTTAATAATAAGTAACTCCATCACATCCTCCTTAAACTGGTTGTTCAATTTTTGCAAATATTTTTAATTTTTAAAAGATTAATGGAGAATAAGAAGAAAAAAGAAAGAACCAAAATAGAGAAATAAGAAAAGGAGAGAGAATTAAAACAGAAATGAAGTTTTGAAAGAGGTATGGAAAAAGGAAGAAGAAATCAAAATAGAGATCAAATTGATAACAAAACCAAAACAAAAAAATAAAACAGAAATAGAAATAAAAGAAGAACAAGAAGAAGTGAGAGAGAGAGAGAGAAATACACGTGAAACTAAATAGTGAAAATTAAACTTAAGGGAAAGATTTAAGTTCTAACCAGTCGCTTCGATAAAAAAATTAAATAATTTCAAGCTTTAAGAAAAGGAGAAAGAATTAAAACAGAAATGAAGTTTTGAAAGAGGTATGGAAAAAGGAAGAAGAAATCAAAATAGAGATCAAATTGATAACAAAACCAAAACAAAAAAATAAAACAGAAATAGAAATAAAAGAAGAACAAGAAGAAGTGAGAGAGAGAGAGAGAGAAATACAGGTGAAACTAAATAGTGAAAATTAAACTTAAGGGAAAGATTTAAATTGTAACCAGTCGCTTCGATAAAAAAATTAAATAATTTTAAGCTTTTATTTTAAAAAAACATTGGGAAAACATATATTAGGGAGACATTTATTGTTTTTTTTTTTAAATATTATAAAACGACAACATTATATATGTTGTCAATCTCTGTAGCAAGTTTATGTAGAGACAACTTTGAGTAGATGATTTTTCTTTGATTTACTGTGATTAAAAATGGCAAAATGTTAAAATAGTTTTTTATATATTTTAATATATTTTTTTACATTATTTTTTAATATTACCAGCGGTCTTATAGATTATTTTTTAACATTTTTCTTTTTTTTCTTTTTATTGATTTGAATAGATAACTAATTGAAACCACAGCATTGTGGACACAACTCTCATAGATATTGACGATGGTGATGTCATCACTCACGTGCTCATGTCTGTCCACTTTCATCACTCATCTCCATAATTTTAATTATTTGCCGTGCCTCATTTTAATAATTTTAATTATTTATTTTATTGAATTAGTTAATAATATTATATCTATATAATAAGGATGCTCTGTTTTCAAACTAGATGAGACATTTATCTTAAGTGACAATGAGATTGAAAGGCTGAGACTAATTTGAGAGTTGTCTCTTTACCTTGACCGTTGAATATACACTTCAATTTTGAAACCCATTTCAGTCATTTCAGGTTTGTTTGGAAAGTGGGTTGACTTTTTAGTTATTTTTGCCTGAGGCTAAAGCCTCGTTTGGGAATGACTTTTTGACTTTTTGACTTTTTTGACTTTTTATGAGAGAAATAATGTAATGATTATGAATTAGAAGTGGTGTTTTTTCTTATTGGACTAAAAGTCTATTTTATCTTTTTATGGCTAAAATAGCCTCAACCCTTCTTCCCAAACGAAGCTTTCATCATCTCTCTCTTCAAACCCATTTCATTGTTTCTCTCTTCAAACCCATCTCTATCTCTACAATGGTTGTATTCAAGCCCATTCCTCATCACAACTTCGGTGGTTCTTCGTTTCTTCACCGGCTCTTCGTTGCTTCGATGGTTGTCGTCGGTAGCAGCTGTTCGCGTTCAGGTAACACCTCTTTCTTCTGCTCAAGGTCTCAGTCCCCCCTCTCTTCCCAACCCGACCTCAAACTCCCCACTCTCGCCTTCAGGTAGCAATTGTTTGTTGCTTCAGTTGTTTTTCTTTGTTGTTTTTTCTCCAATCAGACAGTTTTTCTATTTCTGTTTTACCATATCAATCAACAAAACCAATTTTAAACCCTTAGTTAATGACATCGGAAGAACGAATTTTAAACCAATTTTATTTTTGTCTTCATGTCTTCATGGGTTTGCTCCGTTAAAAAAAAAAAACACAAACAAAGCATCGATCGAATGAATTGGGGCAATGATTACACTGAAGATCTCGAATCAGGTCCATTTCTCTCTCTAATGCTCAATACGCTTATTGGGTTTTCACTTATCATCAAAATCTCATTAGGGTTTTCAATTACTCCTCAGAATCACACTTCAATTTTGTTCATCTTATTCTAATTCTAGTAATCTTACTTTGTTCATCTCTCTTAATTTTGTTCTAATTTTTGTTCATCTTAGTTTGCTCATCTCACTTCAACGATCACACACTTTTTTTTCCCTTTTTGTATTTGGGTTTGTTTTTCTTTCTTTCTTTCTTTCTTCTTTTTTTTTTTTTTTTTTTTTTTTTTTTTTTTTTTGTTTTTGGTTATCAACATAGAAACCATTCTTTTTATTAGATGTAGTTCTACAAAAATATTTCTGTTCTGTTTGGCTGCCAAGAAAGTGGCGGTAGAAGTAAAGAAAATGGAATTTTGGTTACTGTCATTTCTGGGTTTGACTAAAAGGTCTGTTATGATTGTATTTTTATCAAAATTATTTTTTTTATTGGGTTTTGTACTCAAGAACAAGTGTTGATGTTCTTAATTGTTATTTTTCTTAATTGACTTGGGTTATTTGTTTGAGCACTATTAATCTATCTCTTTATATTTTTTCTGCTCTATCTTTAAGCACCATTATGTTTTCTGCTTCATATGGTGCAACGACTTCAACGGCGACAATGGAGCAGATAAAGGTTGTGGATATTCGTCTTGGTCTTGCTGGCTCTGTTTCAGTGTCTTGGTCTTGGTAGAGATGTCATCCGAAATAGGTATTTTAATTAGTTAGTTATGCCAGATATGTTGAAACCATGGGAAAAGTTGCTGGAAACCTTAATTAATTAGATTTGTAATTAATTATGCTGGATTTGCATTTTAATTAGTTTGTTTTATTGCTAAATTTTGGTAAATTTTGAGTTACTTTGGGAATAACTTTGTGCTAAGTTTTGGAATCCCCTATTGTCAAAATCAAAATTGATATCTAATTGTCTCTTAAATTGGGTTTTTTGCTCATATATTTTCAGCATTTATAAATTTACATTTTATTTAAGAGAAAACTTTAGTTGTAGGTTCTTTTTTCCTTTCTATTTCTGTCTTCTCTTTTTTAACCTCTTTGAATATGAGGACAACAAAATCGCAGTGTTATGGAACTAATCTGTGACGTTGTGGAACTAGTCTATGGAACTAATCTGTGATGTCAGGTAAAAGGCCCCAATTTAGATTCAGTTTTGGAACTAAAATTTGACAATATTATATGTTATGTTATGTGATGTTGTGTGTGCGTGTGACTTTGCCTAGGAATCTATAATGTTATGTGATGTTGTGTGTGAGTGTGTGTCTTTGACAGTATGTAATGGTTTCGATGGCTTGAACTGGGAATCAAATTTTATTTTTAATCTAAATTTTGTTTTTGTTGTGGCAATGGGTTGGCTGATTCCCATGAGCAAATTAAATGGATTCAAAAGGTTGGTTTCATATTTTGCTTATGGGTGGATTTAAATTTGAGCCTTTTTTTTTCTTTTTTTTGCAGCTGCTGTTCGTAGCATTTCAGTGCACCATGTTAACCCATTAAAGGTATCCTAATTCTTTAATAGGATGCTTGGCTTCCATTGGGAATTAAATTGTTCAATCTGTTTTTAGTTTACGAAATTTTTTAAACTTAATATTGTTATTTCTAAGTTACTGAAATAAAACATATATACTCATTTCTTATTGCAGAACATTTGTTTTGTCATGTGGTTGCATGGTCTAATTATAGTTCCCTATTATTTGTCATGAGTCATTTTAGCTGCTAAGCAGGTTTGTTTATGTAGTGTTGATTGAATTTTTTTTTCTTCAATTTATTTATGGATAACTGAAAGGGGAGTGCAGAGAAGTTGGCCATAATTGTTTGTGTTTCTTTATGATTTTGATTTCATTTATATGAATATGAAATAGGTTACTATGAGATGAGATAAGTCTTTTTCAATGAAATGAGTTTCTATGAACGGGTGACTTTTATTTGTTTTTCTGCTATGAGATGAGATAAGTCTTTTTCTATGAATGGATCTTTCATGTTAAAAAATTGTCACTCAATATGGAAGGTTGAAACAGTGATTGTGCTTAATTGCT